CTCACCATAGCCAAGAAGAACTTTAAGCATGAAAAGAACTTTATAAAACATTATCTTCAGTCTTTATAGTTTATTTTAGGTTTTACACCTGTCTCACAGTAGGAGTCAAACTGCATCGTGATTCCTTCAAGTTTTGGAAACTTGACAAAATACAACAGGACAACTCTGACCTGCTGCAGTGTGAATTCCCCTGCAATCCACCATCCATGTTCAAAGCGGGTAAGCACAGAATTATGCAGCTGTCTCACCGTCCAAGCGAAAACATTCGCCGTGAATTGAAAAGCCAAACAAAAGCACACGACCCATTAGTTAAGGATTGGCAGTGCTAGAATTTCATTTTAATTACAGGCAGTTCAGAACAGCGGACGCTGCGCAGCAGTGACGCTAACTTGATCTGTGTTTCTGACTGCTCAGGTATTCACATATCTTATTTAACGAAGGCTCCATTCTCTCAGCAGCTGGATGAAGCGTGCTTCACATGCAGTTGATTTTCTTGACGTTAACAGATTCGTATAGAAAAAGAATTTCATCCCAAGCAGCAAACACTGCTGTGGGGATGGTTCAGCTCTACACCACCAACGAAGTAGCTGGGTCCTCAAGCCCTAACCTAAATATCAGACACCAAAAATAGGCAGCAGCGATCTGAGCATCATTGTAAAAAGGGATTACTGGCCTAGGTAATCAGTGCAGGAAGATAACTGACATAACAGTGGCCAATTCAGCTAACAAATTATTCCATTAGATCTTTGGTTATCAGTGGATTCTGATCTTATCAGTTCTGACACTCGGCAACTATTTGGAGACAAATGTGTTCTTTCCCAATTAGTTTGCCCTTCGTTGCAATCTAAACGATATTGCAGGTGTTTGTAAAAGATCTACGTACTGTCTTGTTTCTTGTTTGGCTCCTAAAAAGAGACAAAGCAAATCAACTCTTCAGATCGGCAGCTAATTTAACACGCTTCCAAGGTAACGCAGGTTCAATTAATTTACACGTACAGTGCACACAACAACAAAACCGCAGTATGGTGCCAGTGCAATCTGTAAGAAAGTTCTCCCCTAAACCTCTGCAGAAAGCGGCCTTAAAAGAAAGCAGGGATTAGAGTGAGCTGGAAGGTAGGGAGGGGACTTACCTCAAACCCAGCCAAGCGGAAATCAGAGCGGTAATTCTACAAGTCTGCGGAGCACACTTTCAGAGCTGTAATGGTGTGAAGAAGTACTGGGCAGCATTGCCTGAAGGCAGCACTAATACACCGATGACTAATGACTGGGCCACGCAGACAATGAATTTGGGGGTTGAAAACTAACAGAAACCGTGCAGCACCTTGACAAATGGGCTTTCAAAATTTCATTCACTGAATAACCTTTAAGCATAAAATTGGCTCAAGTTCTCTCGGGAAAAACATGACACATGTTGTTGGACAATAAGTACTTTCCTTTTTAATTAAAACTATTACGCCAAATACATAAACATGATTACAGCGAATAAAACGTAAAGTTAACTCTTTAACAGCTAGAAAACAAGGCGGGACCTGGAAGCTGAGGTGCAATGCCACCCGTTCTTAAGGGCCAACAAATTCCGGGGATCACTACCTGATTTCCTGAAACTCACCACCGTTTTCCCTTCTTTGACACTGAAAGGAGAATGAGAACTTCAAAGGTATGTTTAATGAGCTGCTACAAATACAATTGGTTAAAAGAGGCTCAGAAATTGTGCACTAAAAGCCACATTGTGCTTAGAATTACAACTGGAAAAGTCTCATTTTAAAGAGCCCGGTCCAAGTGAAGCCCCCATAAAACAAATCAAGCCTCACATAAACTTTGTAACCTTGTGTACCGACAAACACATTAAAACAACAGTTTTAATCACACTTTAAAGGGTCCCTTTTTCCAGTGCAGCTCACCTTCCAATTTGAAAACAGTAATTCTGGCTCTTTTTACAGACAGAGTGAAATATCTGAAGTGTCTCTAAATTAACAAGTACCACTTGCCCTAGACAGCATCGCCCTTAGCAGCTCCTAAAAACTTCAGAAAAGGATCTTAAAACAGGAAGCTTAGTGAGCTCATAAAACTGTTGTTGGAGCCAGGAACACATAGCATATTTAATCTGTGAACTGTGAGAGTCTACAATGATTTCAGCAAGATCTGAGGCATGCCCTCAAGGTTTGCTGGGATCTGGGATTAGGGAGTTGATAAGAACCCTCTACTGCCCATGGACATGTTTTTCTTCTGCAGTTAAACACAAATGCATAGAGACGTTTGACTGCTGCTTGGCGTTACTGCTCAAGTTATATAAAAGCTTTGCAGCTCCTTTTGCTGTCAATATATCAAAGTTAAAAAAAAAATCATCAAAGTGTGAAATTTCATTTAAAGTCTTTGCCAGTCTACAGCTCTATTCCACAGACCTATCAAATAAAAGTACAGATGAAAAATACACTGAGAGAACTTGAAAAGTTTGCAGCAGCACCCATGCCCTATTTTTGTTTATTCTGTCTCATTTTATTTGATATTAAAGTATAACAAATCAATTGCCTTATAAAAAAGACAAAATCTGAAGGGAGGATGTCTATAAAACCTACGCTTAAAAGATGACTTGAAACCACTATTACAGCTGAACCTTTTGTTGAATAAAAAGCTTCCTCTGTAGCCATTTTAGCATTTTAACTGCCTAACTGCAAGTTGGCAGAAAATTTCTTGAATCTTCCAAAACAATCAGAATGACTACAGAAAATGAGTGCCAGAAAAACTTAAGCCTTCTTCAAAGTATTCTTTAGCTAGGGATTTACAACAATTGCATAAAGAAGAAAAGTCTGACTTTTAAGATAATCTACTATAGTCTAAAAGCATTAACATTCCATTACTAAGGTTTTCCTGAGGATTTCATGACTCATTGATTCACTCTTCCTTTAAGTCTGCTGCTTCTTTGCACATTACTGTCTGCATATAGCTGAGTGCACGCAACACTGATCATTAAACTGTTTCCTTCCATAACTCCAAATAAATCCTGCTCTAATAAGCATCAGATTCCTTATTTATCTGGCAAGGATGACAAATTTTTCACTAGCAGTCTGCAAAACAAAACAAAACAAAACAAAAAGTGCCATTCCTTGCTTGAATACATGGTATGGAATTCAAATACGCTACAGAGCACAGGTAATGAAATAGCCTTTCCAAAAATGAGGCAGGAAGTGTAACTGGAACTACTTAAACTTTCAAGGGTCACCATCAAATGCATGCAATTGTCCTGTTAAAAAAAAGAAAAAAAGAAGAAGAAAAAGAAAGGAAAAGAACAAGCAGTCTACAAGATGTGCAAATCATAATGATATCTGAAAACTTTAATGGTTTGGTTTCTCTAGCAACAGTTCCAAATCAGAGATGATTTATACAAACCAATAATTTCTCAGCTATAAAACGTTTTTGCACCTGAGAACGCACAACGTGCCTTTCACAACTGCAGGTTGCTTACAACAGTAAATGCTGTTTTGGCCACCGCACGCATTCTCAAGTCAAAAGCATTACTCCACTTAAGCAGGAATACGCAGGTGATGTCTTTGTTTTGTAGCACTTCCACGGAAGTGCTCAGGAAAGCAGCATGTCATGCTGAACAGCATGTGCAGTTATCTGAACACAACTGTGCAGGCATTAAAGCACCTCAAGCCGTAATTTTACTTCCACTTCCTAGCAGAGAAAGGAATATACATACGCTAAGGGAGCACACTTCTTACTCATTCAGAATCACATAATCCTGCTTTTAAAAGAAATAATCCCCCCCCTTAACGTAGCCTTCTCTCATAGTTGCTATTTTAAAATTGGGCTATACACCAAACTGAAAAGTATTTACACAGGAGCTCGTTAAACCCAAAGCTTCATTATATAAACAAGCTCTCAGGAGGCTGCTTACAGTTTACATTGCTACGCTCATTCACTACTACTTTGAATATATATTTCCTCTGAAATACTGCGCTGCGGTCGCGGCAATTTCTACATGTTAAGGTTACTTTACTTTTGAAATGCAGCATTTGTCTTCCTTCAAAATAATAGTGACACATGTAATTAAGAAAGTGTCAGATCACTATTAATTTTTAATAAAGAGCCTAAGTGAAATAATTATAGGAATCAATCAGTGAGGCACCTTCCCAAATTACAAAGCAAATGCACAAATATTCAAACTACTGAAGGCCAGTTCTGGCAGATTTCAATCCATAATCTGTCCGCAGACCAAATTCAAAACAACCTCGCAGCACAACTTGGCGATTTCCCGTCGTTCAGCTGACTGAAAATGCCTCCAAAACAGGTACTCACACCCCGCTCAGAGGCAGAGCGCCCTTTCAGAGACGCGTTCATTCAACCAGCCACGTTATCTCAAAGGTCTTGGAGAAATCCCGCTCCTGGAGGACGCACAAAAGACACCAAGTCTGCGGGCTGAGGCTTACAAAGGAGCTTTATTGAGCTCTGAGAGTCAGGTGGGGAGGGCAGCGCTCACAGCGGGACCTTCGTGCGGGGCAGGGCAGCTCGCCTACCTGCGGCTACGGGCGCTGCCATCCGCACGGACAGTCAGCGCGAACTCGAGCTGGAAAACGCATATATATCTGCGCTCAAACTGGCAGGAGGCCACGGACACCGGAGGATCGCGTTCAAAAGGGGTTGAAAAGGAAAAAAAAAAAATGATAGTAATAA